AAACTATGAATAGTTTTTATCCTCCAACAACTGAACTGATAAAATTACATTTGAATAACTTTGAAGAAATTTTTATAAATGTTTGTCATACAAGTAACACTGTTTCTATTAAACAAAATAATTATACCAATGTTTGTCTCCAAGTTATAGGTCAACATATCAGAACAATCTGAAGAACAAAAGGTGAAGAACAATCTGAAACTGAAATTCAACAATTTGAAGATTCTTTACACCAAATACAGTCCGAAGAAATAAAATAAAATTGAACTATCTAAACCAAAAACTAATCATTATTAGCAGGAGCCTCCTTTAAGAGCTTATTATCAAAGATCTACTTCTCAAGATATTTTATATAAAGAAAGATTTTTAATTGATCAAAGTGGATATGATGCCTCTTCAATTTATGAATGAAATATTGATGATATGTCTGAATATTTAATTCACCAAATTTTACATAAAATTTTAATGTATGTTTTAATATGTAAAGTTAATCGGAATATTGATCATGCTACTGCTAAATTTATAATCACCGATTTCACAGGCCAACTAAGAGGAAGGTGAGATAACTATTTAACTCCAGTTCAACAAAATGAAATTTTAAATGCAGTCAAGGTTGCAATAGCAAAAAATAAAACCATAATTACTCAAGAAGATGTTGTCTATACCTTAGTACAAACTATATTAAATATTTTGTTGAATATAGTTTTCAAAACATTGATAAAAGTAAAGAATTTTTATTGAATTTAAGATGTTCTACCTTAACACATTTCAGGTGGTATAAAGATCTGTATTTGGCTAAAGTTTTGCTAAAATCAGATGCTAATAATGAATTTTGGAAAGAAAAATTTATTTCAGGCTTGCCCAACATATTTGCTAAAAAAATAAGAATTCGTTTAAAGCAAAAACATGGAAGATTTAAAATCCCTTATGAACATTATACCTATGGAGAAGTAGTTTCTGAATATATTTCGGAAGGTTTAGCTCTCTATAATGATTTAAATTTTAAAGTTCAACTTAAGAGACAAAGATTAACTAACAGAAAAAAACTTAAAGAATTTTGTGATCAACTTGCTTAGAATATTGATATCCCAAAAGATAAGGCTTCTAAAAAACCTTACACTAAGCCTTATAAAAAAGGTAGCAAATTCTATAAAAAGAGCAATGCTAAGGAACAATAAAAAACTAACAAACTCACTAAAAGGGTTAAAGAAAAGGACAAGAAACATTTTCTTAAATGTTTTAAGTGCGAAAAGGAATGTCATATTACTTTCAAATGTTCAACTAAACAACAGATAAATAAATTAATTAATGAGGAAGTCCTTAATAGAAATTAAAAGGACATGAGTGATGACCCACTTCATATAAAAAAAGTTTTGTCTACTACAGTTCAAGACTTAAAACAAGAAATTTATAATGTCAAAGAAGACATAAAAGTCTTAAAGTCTAAACTATTAGCCTTAGAAAAAATATCATCTAGAGAAAGTGACATACAAGATGTTATAGCATCACCATCTAAAATCTAATGATAAAACATCACCAAATGAATACATAAATATATTATAAAAATAACTTATTAAAAATAGTATGTTAAAATTATCCTAGTTATAAATTCTGAATTTACTATTGAAACTATTGCTCTAATTGACAGTAGAGCAGATATGAACTGCATAAAGGTAGAATTAATTCCAACTAAATATTTTGAAAAAACTACTCAATTAATAAGTATTGCTGATGGGTTAAAATTAAATATAAATTTTAATCTCTCTAATATTTTTGTATGTAATCAAAGAATTTACATTCCTACTACTTTTATGCTTATTAATAATTTAAATCAATTGGTGATTTCAGGAATACCATTTTTATCTTTAATCAAACCTATAGAAAGAATCGATTCTAAAGGTATTTTAACTATCATAAATGGTCAATAGATATTATTTGAGTTTATAACTCCACCTTAAATAAAATTGAAAAATCAAATAAAAAAAATATAATTTATAAAGAAAATCAATTAAAATTTTCATCCTCTTCTAATATATTAAAAAGTGATGTTCATTTTGCAGGAAAAATCCAAGAAATTACAAAAATGAGTCATAGCTCAGATTCATTCTCTTTGGATCTTATTGCCACATCACCTGAACTTCTTGACTGTTTTGGTGATTATGCAGGAGAAGATGTTTTTAGCTTTTCTTCCACCTGGAATACTAATAATTGCAAGGTTTCACTTTGGTGTCTCTATTGCAATGTTATGAAAAATCAATTAATTGATCATATACCTATCTTTTTGTTAAGAATTGCAAGACGTCAAAAAGAATCTTTAAAAATAGGATTAAAGTTTCATCTTATTCTTGAAATTAATGACTGACACTATAAACAATGTTTGGAGACTATAGTCCCAGAAGAATTTGCCAATAAATGATAAATAAACTTGGTGGTATAACTGTTACAACCTCAGTTCTTGCATATAAAAATGCATATTATTCTGATGAATATAAAAATATTTTTTATGTATATAGAAATACATATTATTTTAATCCATATAATGATGCTCATTATTTTAATGCATATAAAAATATTTATTATCCTCCACTCTCTATAAAGACATCATCACATAAAGGTGTTATGGATGACAATCCGTCAAACTAACTTAAAGTTGTTTCATCTTTGTCAAATAAAGTTGACAATAAAGACAAGTTGTCAGGAGATAAATCTCTCTCTATTATTCAAAGATCTTTGACTTTGTCTTCATATATGAAGTTTAATTTTTCATTTTTCTTTAAAATTATTGAAAGGATATATCCTTATGATATTAATGATCTCAGACAAATCAGGGATATTAATGATCCCAAAAAATATTTAGTCCAATTTTTAAAAAATTACCCGCTTGAGTTTAAAAGTAAAATCATAGCAGAATGTCTTAAAGACATTAATAAAGAAGAAGATACATTTTCAAATGATAAAGTTTCATCTTCTATATCAATGGTTCTCTCTATCAGTATAAATACTAGAACTAATTTCAATCCTGTTGAAGTTCTTAAAGAATTAATTAAAAAAGACAAATCCCATTTAAATCCTGAGTACCTTAAAACAACAGTTATGGAGGAATTTGGTTTTCAAATTATGTCTACTTTTGGCATGAACAAAACAGAAAAGATGCATCTCAATAACCCTCCTGCAGTTGTCATAAAAGGCAAATGTAAAGATAAAGTTAAGAAATACAATAGAAAATCTCTCATTCCTATTTATTCTAATGCCGACTTTATAGATTTTCAGTGATATACCTCTCTTAAAGGTGACATTACTATTAATGAATCTTTGCTTAATAAAGATTTGATAAATGAAGATAAAGAGATAAATCTCCATGATGATAGAGATAATGTACTGTCTACTTTATTTTACAGAAAATGATCAAATAAAGTTGATTTTTCGGATAAAACCGACCCAGAAGAAGTGATGTACGCCCTTACGTCACTACAAAGAAGTGACTGACGCACGCTCTGACGTCACTACAATGACTGTGAATAGTGTACAATATTTATGATGTAAACAATGACGTCATTGTAAATTATTAAAGTTAGGAACAGTATAAAGTTATGAATATTATTTTTTATTTTAAAATTCGAATTTCATGTCCGGCTCTATATAAAGAGATGAAGGCCCGACTTCTGGAGCACCTCATCTAGACCTCATCTCTACCAACCTCTATACCTTTACCTATTTCTTTCTTTCTTCCCTCTTACATTCTCGGTGAATCCTCTTCTCTTGTATAAATCTTTCACCTTCCACAACACTACTGTAAGTGTACCTTGTACATAAAATTTTGTATATTAATAAAAATTTCATCTTCCATTTTGTAGAGAACACGATCCTCCCAACAATGGGGAGGATCGTGGAGTCTACAAAATGGAAGAGGATCATGAACTATCTAAATTTTGATCAAGAGCTACTCAAAATTTGGTCAATAATTATTCAAATTATTTTTTTTCTATATTTAGATATCATGTGACCAATTTATCCTAAAAAACTGTTAGTAATTTAAATGTTGACTACTTAAAAGACCACATAAAAATATATTAAAATACTTAAAAAAATAAAATAATACAATTAATATATTGAGAACTAAAATGAAACAATCTCTATAATTCAGAAAATCCAGTGCAATTAACCCCTCTTCAATTTACATAATCGAAAGAGTAGAAAGTGAGAGAACCAAAGATGATAATAAAGAAAAATCATATACCATTTTTAGTTATGCATTGGTTCTTCACGAATGGACCAATCGGTCGATTCTGAGTTTGTTTGGGGTAGATTAGGAGTTCTCTATTCTTGTTCTTCTTTAGAAAGGCGTTGCATGCCGATCTTTTCGAGCATGGACTCGACATCGACTTTGTTCTTGAATGTTACCCGGCGTCAACGATGGTCTCCTTTTGTATGGCCAGCAATTGAAGAATAAAAAAGGAAATTTGAGAAGTAAGAGAGCGGTAGAGAGACAGGAAGGGAGAAAGAGGAGTGATTGATGGAAATTTTTTTTCTTAATTTAAATTTTAAATTTTATGAAAAAAATCTTACTCACAAACCTCTATTCAACGTAAATTAAGAGATAATAATTTTTCAGTAGGAAACTAATCTAACACTGTTTTCAAAGAAGGGTATTTGAAATTTTTAAAACATAGTGAATTTAATTACTAATTAGTAAAATTAAAATAAGATTTGTCTCTAATATTTTTTTTAACAAGCTAAATTCATTAAAAGTCTTTTTAAGAAGAACCCAGTTCCAATTTTCACTTTCCTTTATGCTTTGGTAAGCCATTAATGGTTTTGAACTCGTGCCCTGTTGTTCCCGTGACTGCAACATTTGGTAGGAGGGTCAGATATAGAGTTAAATTGCACTTGTGCAAACCTCAAACCTCTACCGAGGTTGATCTATCAGCAGAAATGTTTCTACAACCACCACCTTCTGTGGTTAAAAAAATTAAATAAACAGAACAGGCGAATGCAGTTAAAAACTGAGCTTTTAAAAGTACTCGTAACATATGATTACATATCTAAAAGCTACAACTGTTGATAAGTTTTAAGGAAACAGAAGGAATGAGGGTTGTCCCCAAAAAGAATTTCGGACAGTGCAGAAACATGTGACTAAAAGAATCTGGCAGCTTCTATGGGCTATGATCTCCACACTCCCTGCAGTACACCTTCATAAGGGAAAAAACTCGGATCCTCACTCCCCCCAGCATCTTTATGAGTATAATGCATACTGCCACATTCGGTTCCCGAAGTGGCGAAGGTGGTTGGTTCAGTAATTACAATAATAATAATCGCCCTACATCAAAGGTTAGAACTTATTGCTATGGATGTGGATGCAGATGCTGCTCTGTAAATCCATCCAACATTGTTTGGAGAAACGATCACGATCATCAGCATATGCCAGGTCATTCTAGCTCACTCCATATGAATCCTCTTCGAAAGGAACATTTAGATCAGGTAGCGCACATTTAGCCACTGGATCTGTGACTTCCTTATGCACTTGAGAAAGACCGGTTGGTAAAGCATCAAGAACATTGCCTGTGACAATTGGTGGCAAGATGGGAGGAGCTGGGTCACAATCTGCTGTCTTTTGCTGAAATTGATGAGAAATTGTTTCCTCGCAGGCAACTGTTAGAACGCTTTCAGCTGCTGGCTGTGATTGCAAATCAAGCTGCAACAGAAAATAAGACAGTTGAATATCACCAAGTTTCTACAACAGTTATTTACTTGGGATAGAAATATTTGCATCTTAATCCAAATGCTTGATTACACATCTTCATTAGATTTAAATGAAACCAACAGTGTTGCAAATGGCATAAGAAGGGCACTCTATCTTCTAGGTTGTTTTTGCCATGTCAGACACAAATCAGAGTATCGCATCATCTCTCCATATTTTTCTTTTTAGGTTCTTTGCAAGTGTTTTGTCCTTGAACACGAAGGTTCAATTGGGAGTAAAAGGGAGTAAAAGTAATGACAGTGAAATTATTCTCTGGATTGAGTATGACAAATTTTTGTACTACTTTCATCCCCCATACGTTTTAAAGGTGGCTGAAACATGTAAAAGAACATGGATGAAGCACAACAAGTAATCCCTAAAGTAGACCTTAAAATGGACATATAGACACTTGTGATGAGGAAGACGACCACAAAACTACATCTAAAAGTTTATATCAGATCAGTATTCTTAAGATTTTTTTTTCATTCTTACAAATAAAGGATTACCTCTCTGAGCCCTCAAGAAAGTCCAAATGAAGAATTTTTTTGCCTTTGCACTAAAGATGAGAGAGTGCATGTCTATTGCAGGAATACCAACGCAACCAAATGGAAGGACCTTTTTATGGTCAGCCACATTGGCAAAACGTTCCATGCCTATGGCCCTCTTACACATGAAATCATGTTCATATTCCCTTGTGCAACGCCACACAAAATGACTTAGTCAGAAAATATGACTGCTTCACCAGACTTTGCAGTAGTAAGACTGATATCCAACATACATCTCCAAGGATCCTTCTTTCTACAGTCTGCTGGTATACACACTAAACATCATTTTTCCAAATTGGTATCTTGGACAAGTCACATAGACGAACGTTCCACTCCAGAATTTGTTGGCAGCTAGGTGTAATATTATAATTGAAGATAATAATGCCAAATTCCATATTCTGCTGGTTCAGTCTAGCCAATCTGAATTACAAATAATCCAAATGCGAATAATCTAAGATGCAGACCCTCAATTCAAGTGCATGCGATGTCTGCATCCAGTATAACAAACATCTATTGCTTTTTTCCAAACTTAACAAACATTTAAGAAAAAATACACTTAATTGTAATCATTAACTTACAAAATTGTCATGATCAAGATCAAGTAAAGTGAAATGTATAACTAATACGTGAACTCAATAAGGCAACCAAAAAATAGAACAGAATGAAATAAATAAAAGAGCATGGCAATAATTTCACCTTCATTCTCTTCAAGCTCTCATTTGTGGCTCTCTGCTTTTCCAAAGTGATGTGAAAGTTTGCTATTTCCTGATTGACAAGGTGATTTCAAAATGAAACTCAGGTATTGCAAATTAGAAAATTTTAGATTTCTTAGCAAAGCAAAATTGGGAGAAAAAATAAAATACCCTCTTCAAGTGCCTTTTTTCCTTTAATAGCAAGATCTCCTCCTCTTTAAGTTCAGCTAGGGTCTGCAGACAGCCATAAGAACTAAATCAAAAAGGATCACATCATTCAAACCAATATTAACATTTATAATCACCCAAAAAAACGTTAGAAAATAAATAAACAAAAATTAAGCCTAATCCGCGACCACGAATTTTTGGTAATTATATGATATGTTTTCATTTCTGACCAGAATCAGATATATTAAAAAGGTCATTTGTATGTACAGTGGCATATGACAGTAGAAGCTGCTAGTTAAAAGGTATAGGCAGCAAGTTGAAGCCACTAAAAATGTGTTACAGCTAGAAAACACCCAAGGGGCAATGCTAATGGTGCTCCATTGGGTCTTACCACCTGATTTGTTTTGATCTGGGGTTTACCACTAGATGGATTTATATTGCTAATAAAGTACCATGAAAAACCCATGATCAAATGATCATTTCGTGCATATTCTATCTTCTTGATTGGGCTGAAGAAACTTAGCAACTAACATCCATTAAAGCCCAGAACTTGTTTAGGATGTGCAATCATTGGATAAAATTCAGATGGATCATCCCCAAAATAAGTCAAGTATGAAGTGCCAGTGGCCATCATTCGTTTAACAAGACCATGAAACTAAGAATCACCTTCTTCTTTCTTGACCTCTTGGTTGTTGCTGTTTCACTTGTTCCAGTAACCTGCAGATACCAAGCATTAGAAATAAATCAGTTAATCAATGCAATCTTTGTTAGATGTAACTTTGTAAGCAAATTCAGTAGGTCAATAACAGATCACAAAAGTTAAATATAAGTAGTTAGGGAGGCCCACATCTATGACCAGCCTATCTGATTTGCCTTTTCACTAATGAAATGATGTTGCAGTCGGGATTGAACCAAAAATACTGCAGTACTGTATTGTACTAATTAAGTGAAGAATTCAAAAATTATTTCATCACCCTTCTGACGATTAAAATGAAAAATAGGTCAATTATACTCCACAGACTTCTGCCAATTAACTAATACATTGGTCCTTTTGGCATTGCACAACTAGGTTTTTGTTCCGTTACAACCTTACAGGAAAGCCTATCAAAAATTGAGAAGCATTTGGGAAGTCTCATACGAGAGAGAACCAGTACCGAATAAATGGGTCCGATGACACACTGTATTGTTTCATACCTCGTTTACTGCATATAGGTCAAATGCCCACACATTTAAAGGTATGATGGTAAACCAAAAATAGGCATATCCAATGTACCGTTATACCTTTTGAGCCAAAAATGGGAATACGCGTGAAATTTCTACAATTCATACCCCAATTATATATAGGATTTGTCAATCAGTCCCACTAACTCAAAAGGGGAAAAAATCCTAAGTCATCCGGTTGAGATATGGTGTAACCGAACCATTAGTTGTTATGGCGGATTTGGTAACAATGTTAGTTTACACCGATGAGTTGGTGATGAAATAGAACCCCAGCACCACAAGCTTCTGATATAGAACTATACCTAAACCAGTCAAAGTGATTATATTAGCATTTGTCTGGCACCAGCTTCTTATTAACACATCTTCACAAACGGCAGGCTAAGAAACATTAATTTCAACACCAATGGCTGAATAATGTAGGAACCTGTCAGGCATACCTAAAACAAAACAAAGCAATTTTCCCACTTTTTGTTTTGTTTTTGCAACTAATTTCTCCCACTTTTTGACTGTGCCTGAGAATACAATACAATAGAACCTGCTAATTTTAAACGCAAAGAAAGGTTCAGAACAAGCTGTCATGCGAATCCCAAAACCCATATGATTGTTTGTCTCAAGCAGTCTAGGACCCCTCAACCTTATTCACATGAGAAATTAACTAGATACAGTTGTGCGGTGCCTTGGAATGTTCGCACATCTTTGTGTACAAATGGCATGCGATGCAGAGGTATAACGACAAGCAGATACGGTCCGAAAACGAAGGTGCTGGTACAGACCAAAACACGTCGACCACACCCTAACATTTCTCTTTCCAAACATAAAAGTGAACAACCACTAACAATACTCCACCAAACTAAAGCCAGACGCATTTGCCACGAACACACGTTACAGATTAAACCGGTGCCCAACAACTTCTCTGACCAAAAAGCCCCTTAACTACAAAATTAGTAAATTTGATTTTTTTTAAATTCATAACATACATCTGTCAAATAAATAAATTCACCGTAATCCTTTAAAACCGATACAAACCCAACACAAAGCTAAGTAATAGGGATAAGAACAAAGATAAACTGTTAATTTAGCCATCGTCAATTTGAATTTTGATTAAGGTCGGAATAAGTTTAAGATGACGTAATTTTGACCGAATTATAAAAATTAATTGAATAAGATATTCCAATTACAGTAAGTAGGTTTGACTCTAAGCACCGTCTTTTTAGCCATTTACCAAATCCAATGGGCTATGGAAGTTCCCCCTCCCTCCCTCCCACAGAGAATTTAGGTAGTTTTTGGGTCACCTCAAGGATGACTGACAGTATTTTATTGAGAAAATTGTCACGGGTGTGAAGGTTGTTTAGGTCTTTTCGAGCTAAAGGCATGACAATAATGGGTTTCGGCTGGTGAGCTGAAAAGTGGTGAGAAGAAAACGTGATGAGTCATTCAATCCTCTGACCAAATGCGTTGAAGGAAAGTCACTAGTTTCTATTTCAAATTATTTTTAATTAAAATCAATAAATAAATATGTAAATGGAAAGTCCAAGTGATAGAGACGAAAAAGTATTGACAGGGTAGTTTGGTCAAAAAAAGGCGAAAACGGATCAACGAACGACGGTCAGATCATCAGCGGTGAGATCTGTCGGACTTGATGAAATGACAGAAGTAGTCTCGGTAGTTTGCGAGTATTATCCCATGGCAGGAGGGTATTTCTGTCAATTTAGAAACTAACTAAACGGTGACAGGTTGATGAAGACATTTTACTTTTCTACAAGTGTCATCTGACTTGCACTGAACGCATCGCAGCAAATATCGTACACGTCGAGGGGTATTTTAGTCAGAACAGAAAAGGCTTCAAATGACACGAGACTTGAATGAATCAGTCGTCGGCGAACGAGGAGACAAACCACCGCCATCCAGCTGAGTATTTTACCGCCGGAAACCGGAAAAGTGATTCCGCCGACTTTAGAACTGAAAGAAAATCGCCACGGAAGAAGAGAAGAGAGAAAGTCGGCATAAACAAACCTTAGATCTTGTTGTGTGTGAGCGTTTGTGAAGAGGACGGCTGGACTCTTCGAAACCGCCATCGACGGTGCCTCCACTTCCACTTCCACCACCAGCACCGCCGCTGAGAGATTCGGCGCCACTCCATGAAAGCGGAGTGGTGGGGCTGGCCCTAGTGGTGGTACTAGTCATAGCCTTAACCGTCATCGTCTTGGAACGTGGCTGGCGTACGCTCCAGTCAACGGGCAAAGCAGGCTTCGGAGGTGGCGGTGGCTGGTTCAGCCGCACCAGCAGCTCCACCACCATGGAGTCGTCCGTCATCGCAGCTCTCACCCACTCTTCGTCGCCCGTCATCACTTATCGTCAGTTTCGAGTTTGGAGAGAGAAAAGCGTGTGAAAGATGATATATATGGAAAGAAAAAGTGAAGAGGAGAGAGAGAGAGGGGTCGTGGTGGCCAAGAAAATCTGAAGACAGCAATAAATAATGCCTGAGAGGGTGTGGGTGTGGGTGTGGCTTGACACTGGGGAGTCCTGTGGATTGATGGTTTCTCTCTATTTCAATTTGGTCTATTGTATTTGGGGTGTGTGGACCCACCATTAGAGACGTGGCACTGATCGTCTGCTTCTTTATCCTTTTGTTTTGTTTCCTGGTTGTGTGCCTTGGTTATGAGAGTTAACGAGGGAAGTGCAGTTTACTCGCTTATGAAATGCGAGTGGATGGGAAGTGTGAATTGAGTGATGTTGCCTGTTTGGGTTGTGGGGACCTTGGGCTGGTTTTATGCGTAAATGATGCAACATCTCACACTCTATCGGGGTTGAGGGAGGGTGGAAAGGAAGAGGAGGAGGACATTCAAAAGAACCACCAAAATCGATATATTGTCTGTTTTTTTTTTAAAAATTATATTTATATATAAATTATGCATAATAATTCATAAAATAAAAAATTTAAAATTTATTTATACCGGCCCAATGAGCTATCCATGACCATCCACGTTGAGCTTTTGGGCCGTGATCTTTCGCTGACCCCATTTGGGTCTAACGAGATTCAAAGAGGCCATTTTTAACTCACCTTGTAATTGTAAAGCACTAATAATATGGTCGTTGTACAATTTGAAATAAAGTGTTAAAAATATTAATTACTTGGTACAAATTTATTTTGAGATCAGCCTAAAGTTAATGAAAAAGTAATAAGATTCACTTTGTTCCCTTTAATTGTAATTAGTGTTCAGTTGAATCTTTTGAGTTTGGGCTAGACTATATATCATAGGTACATACCTTCTTTTTGGGCCAATCATAAACTGACATGATAAAGTTTCATTGTTTTACTGTTTTGTTTTGTGTTATTATTTTCAAGATTAATTAATAACCACAATAAATCAAAATAAAATTTTCAGCATCCAAATTTTTTTAATATGATACCGAAAAAATTAATTTTTTATATACCTATCCTTTTTTTTTTATTCAATGGTTAGGAATATCCGGTCTAACTATATTCACCTCGACTAATTTCCTCTCTAATTCGATTAAAAACAAATCATTTATGTCGGAACTAAGATTTTCATGAAAAATAAATTTTTCATAATTTAACCTGAAAAAATGTCAAGTTTTTAACTCAACATTTGAGTTTATAACTCGTCTTTACTCTATTATCAATTGAACTATCTTTAAAAGTCTAAGAGCAAAGTCAACCATAGATTTGGTACTAAACCATTTTCTTTCTTTCCATTTTCTTCTAATTTCTTGGTCATTTTTGGTACGTAAGTGGTTTGGATAGAACTTAGCCAGTTTAGATGGGACCACTGCCCACCTGAAGCTGAATCCCACAATGTTTGGCTTGCTTTCATGATTGGAGCGTGGTGCATACACCCTATACATGCATTTGCATGCATGGCTATGCTGTCTGTCCAAGAGCTCTCACATCAAACTAAATACACCCTATGCATGCATGAACATGACATTCCTCTCCATCTGTTCTACTTCTCTTTTGGCCTTCCGCTTGTTCTCTGTGTGTAGCACCCGTTGACGTTTAAGTCACAAGAACAATCATCTTCTACAGTTGGCATTAAAGTCGAGCCACAATGCATGACAACACCAAGTGTACAAGTAAGAGCATTTTTTTTGTTCGGTACAGTGGAAAAATTAAAAGAAAACTACTTAAATCCTCTAAAATAAGAGTTACAAGTAGAGTCATTTCTAAGACAGTCCCCCAAGAGGTTAGGAGGAAAAAAGCGGATCACCATCTGATCCTGGTTCTGGACACTCATACTAGCAAGCTTATCAGCACAAAAGTTCGCTTCTCTAAGGGTATGAATGATGGGAAGGGTATGAATGATGGGAGTATTGAGCAGCGAAAGGAGGTTCTTGCATCTTGTTATGAGAACTCTTTCTGGATGGACAAACTCAGAAGTTGTAGTAATGAGTCTATGTGCATCCAGAGAGTCAGTCTCCAAGAGGATATTCTTCAGATTCTTCTCTTTGATGAGCTGGAGGCCTCTGAAAATGGCCCATAATTCAGAGTGTAAGCTGGAGCAGTTGCTCAGCCTTCCATAGAAACCAATCTGCCAGTTCTCCTGATCATCTCTAACCGGTCCTCCAACTGCAGTTGGTCCCGAATTTCCTCTAGAGCTTCCATCAACATTCATCTTAAGCCACCCTGCAGGAGGAAACGACCATCCTACAAGATCAGGGGAATAACGGTCCGTCCTAATTAAGATATCTTGGAAGGATGTCTTAATTTCCAGGGCTAAATGCCATGCATTTTTTGCAATGACATTAGGGAGGGTCTGGGTCTTCTCAATACATTCTTTATTCCTATCTTTCTAGGTGTTCCAAATGAGTGATGTGAAGACAACAGGCCACTTCACCCCTCTCCAAGTCGAATTCTTTTTAATAGTATGGTTTTCAAGAAGCCATTCTTGCAAATTAAGGTTATAAAAATCAGAGGTAGGGAGGCTTCCTAGTAAGGCTTTCCAAATTGCTTTATCTTTGGAACAATCTCTCAGAATGTGAATAGTGGATTCAATATTACTATTGCATCTCTCACAAGTCACCTCTTCAGTCATGTTTCTTATCGCTCTAAACAAGTTGGACATAATTCTATCACTTTGAATCAACCACGGGAAAAATTTAAGCTTCTGGGGAATTTTCATAGTCCAAATCCAATCCCATTTCAGAGCAGGTCTGCTATCTTCAAAGGTATTGGTTATCCAATTATATGCAGAGTTAACAGAGAATTTTCCATTATTAGAAAGTCCCCAAACAAGAGTATCTTCAAACTCACCCACATCAGGAATATTTTTTTTTTTGCCGGTTGAAAAAGGGGTGGGGGCAAAGAAGAGTGCCCAGCAACCACCCCGATAGGCCCTCACCGGTGGGATCATGAGGCCCCTGACCGCGCCTGGAACACCTCTCGGGACCAGACCTAGCTAGGCTAGCATAGCGGCTAACCACCAAGCTCCAATGGGAACTCCAAGACTCAAACTCCCAACCTCAAGGCGAGGAGTAAGGCCGGTACCCCACTAGACTACCCTACTTGGTGGTTTAGGAATATTTGTCATGAGAATATCAGAGCTAATGTAAGAGGAAAGGATCATACCTGTGTTCCTCAGAATCCAATTACCTGCTGAGTTAATGAAGTCCGCCACCAGAGATCCAGGGATCTGCATTCTGCTAGCAATGGCAGAAACTCCACACCACCAGTCAGTCCAGAAAAGGATATTCACCCCATTACCAAGGAGCCATTTAGTGCCTTATGTGACAATTGATTTTGTTTTACAAATTGCTCTCCAAGTAGGGGATACATTAGATTTCAGAGTCCATTCCTGTGGGTTATCATGTAAATATTTCCCTTTAAGAACCTTAATCCACAGATCTTGGTTATTCTTAATTTTCCATCCCAATTTAGATAAAATGCAAGGTTTTTTTCTCTAGTTTTCCTTAGTCCTAGTCCCCTTTTTCTTTTGGTTTACAAACTGTCTCCCAATTAACAAGGTGCACTATCTTTTTCTCATCAGTGTCGCCCCAAAGGAAGTTTCAGTTCAGTCAATGAATTTTCTCACAGGTGGTTTGCGGAAGCCAAGTGGATTGCATGGTGTAATTTGGAAAGGTAGAAGTAACCGCCTGGATAAGGGTAGTTTTTCCTGCAAGAGATAGGTTTTTGGCCTTCCATCCACTTAGCTTAGTTTGCCTTTTTTCAACCAAAAAATTAAAGTGATTTTTGCTTGATCTTTTATGAAGGATAGAGACACCTAAATATCTTCCTAGGTCCTCAGTTCTAGCGATTCCACTCTTTCTGCCAAGATGTCTTGCTTTACTTCTTCCAATGTTGGGTGAATAAAAACCTTTAGATTTTGCAAAACTCACTTTTTAACCTGATATATTGCAAAAATCTCCAAGAACTTTCCTAATCATGTCACAATCCCTATCAGTTGCCCTAGAAAAGAGTATATATCATCAGCAAAAAAAAGATGAGTTATACTAAGCCCATTCCTAGAGGTTTTAATTCCTTTCCATCTTCCCTCTTCCCTCTTCCACTTTTCTATTAATCATTTGGCCCAATTTCTCCATGCATAAGGTGAAAAGATAAGGAGACAGTGGGTCTCCTTGTCAAAGACTTCTCTTTGGTTTGATAGGGTTAAGTGGTACACCATTCCATAAGATTGAAAGGGATGACTCTATGACACAACTCATAATGATATCAATCTAGGATTTTGGGAAATTAAAATCAACCAAGGTTTGGTGCAAGAAGGCCCAGCTAATTCTATCATAAACTTTTTCAAGATCAATTTTAAAAATCATATCTCTCACCTTACCTTTTTTTTTCCTTCTAATGGCATGGATAATCTCTTGGGTGATGATAACATTATCAATGGTCTATCTCCCTGGGATGGAGCTACATTGATTGGGGCTAACCAGATTGTTCAGAAAGGGTCTGAGTCTTGCAACAAGCAATTTGGTAAGGATTTTAAAGCTAACATTGCAAAGACTTATTGGCCTAAATTGAGAAGCCATAGTTGGGCTTTTAATTTTAGGAATAAGGGTGATCCAGGTTTCATTCATCTCTTTTGGAACTTTTCTTGTTTTAAAGATATCTTTGATTTGGTTACATACTGACTCCCCCACGATCTCCCAGTATTTGTGATAAAAAATGCCTTGAAGTCCATCAAGACCTAGGGCCTTATGGGGCTTAATACTAAAGGTGGCCTTTCTTACTTCATCATCTGTAACAGGGAATTCGAGAAAAAGGTATCAACATGATTAAGAAAGGTATGTGGCCTTGTAATGTTTTCATGCTGCCCATAGGTACTCTCTGTTGCGAACAAGTCAGTAAAAAAGTTCTGGATGGTCTTCTCAATATCTGATTTATCTGTTACCCAAAGACCCTGTGAATTTTTAAGGACTTTGGGTCTATTTTTCTTTCTTCTAACGATTGTCGATATGTGAAAATATTTGGTGTTTCTATCTCCATGTGTTATCCATTTTGATCTTGATTTTTGATGCCAAAGAATTT